GTAGTGGTAGTGGTAGTGGTAGTGGTAGTGGTAGTGGTAGTGGTAGTGGTAGTAGTTGTTGTAGAATTCCATGAACCAAGCAAACCTCAGAAGAGTTATATATATATAAGTTAGGGTTTCAAAAGGCATCAATAGCAGAACAAGAATAGAGTTAGATTTTTTCCCTTAGGGCTCCAAGTTTGCTTATTAATCCCACCCGGTAAACAATTGATATTATTCACTTACCCTGGGCTGGTGTACTACCCCTTTGAAACATTGTTTGGAGCAATGAACTCGTTGAGGTTTAATGAGCGTTTTTGAAAACGATTTCCAGGTTAGAATTCCGTGAATCAAGCAAACCTCTGGAGAGTTAAGTAAGGATGTTAAAGGGTGAGCAATAGCAATATCAAAAAGAACACCCTGGGTGAAAAAAATGTTTATTTCCGACCCATTAAACTAATCAGGGTGTGTGAATAATTTGGCGAACACTTTTTACTATTCCGTCCCATTATACGAAGTTGGATTCAACAAAATGCCAGAGCTTGGTTTCTTGACGTTCTTCCCCTCAAAGCTGGCTGGAATCTTCTAGTGACTCCTCACGCGCGTGCTCTTCGTATCCCACATCCGTCCGTGCGGACGTCGGAACCGCAAGGCATCGGAGGAGGAACCATTGGAGCCATTAATGCTGCGCAGCGGAGTGCTGGCGCGGATCCACGGACTGCAGAAGGCCGACGGGACGATCCTGAAACCGAGCGGACCGGAACGGACGGGGTCCATGAACACTTCGATTTGTGCAGTCGGCAGAGCCAAAACGCTACTTTTGGTAGAGGTTCCTGTTGGACGTGCACAGCTGCGTCTCGTTCAGATGAAGGTTTGTATTTAAGGATTTTCATGCAAGATCTGCAGTCTTGGCTGTTGGGATGCCAACAAAAATCAAGAGGCAGCGCCCATGGCGGGCTTCCGCCACGACCGACTCCCAAACCCCCAAAAAAGCACCACCACAAGCGACCGTCACGGAATCCGTGGATGCGCTCACGCATCGGATGGCCATCGATGCCGCCCACAGGCTGGGGCAGAGCAGTTCAATGGGCAGACACTTGGATTCAAGAGCTTTGAACTCAAAGCCTTCATATGGCTATTGTTCAAGAAAAGGGCAGAAGCCTTACCAGATATGGAGTATTGACCCATATGTTTCGAGGGTTCCCCTGAAAACCCACCTGGTAGAAGAGAACATCGACCACCAACCGATGGGAAGTGGTTCCTTTGTAATTATTTCATGTAATTTCATGCATACAAAAATGAGTCTGTTGCACCAGATCTCTTCCAGCTGGGATACATCAATATGATTCAATATGCATTTTGCCAGGACCAATTTTTGATTTTTGACGTGGCTGTATGGATCGTTGGCGTCACAAGGAGACACATGGACATAGAGGCGAAAACTGACGGTCTCAGTCGCCAGTTGTCTCGCCAGCCAAAAGCTGATCTACATGAGCGTTGATCACCACGGTGCTGAGGTCGTTTTTGTAGTATGGCCAGACTGAGTGTTTGTAAACCAAACCATGAGTGTCCACATACGCAGACAGTCTCTTTTTGAGAGATTCAAAAATAGGGACGGGCCGGGGGAAGGAATGCTTCACTATATAGTGTATAGTTAAGGATCTAGTGATAGGACTGATAGGAAAAACCAACCCCCCAACTAGGTAAGAGGGCACACACATAGCAAGATACATGTTGGGCTTTTGAGCTCAAGAGCTCGCCCTCTAGCAATCCCCTAAGCAGAAGCAACAGGGAACTCGCGTTGCTAAGAGTGACTCCATCGCCTTGCTCAGGACTTGCACCGTGCTCCAGCCCTCTGGCGAGAAGTGGGTGGTGCTTTTACGTGATGGTCGGAAGGCCGGCGGACTCGCCTCATACTCGCTCTTTTCGTCGCTTCCGGATGAGTTGAGGGCTGCTAGGGCTGCTAAAGAGATCTAAGGAGTATGACAGTAGAGTCCGACTGTCAACAGCCATGCATTTCTCTATGCCTTTCACTCTTCTTGGGTTGCCAAATAAAATCAAGGAATGGCAGTTATGAGGAGATCCAACACGGGATTTTTTGAGCTCAGGTGGCTCCTGACCTGATGTATCATGAGTCATGCATGGGTTCTTACTGGGGCCAGCTGAGGCAACACAACTTCAGCCTGGATGTAGTGCACACAATTTGTGCAGGTTTATCCATCAACCCCGCCTCGCATTACATCCAATGAGGGGACCCAGTCCATTTCCCGCAGTCTCCAGCGGACCAACGGATCGGCACGAGGGCCTCATGCCGTCTACTCGTCTACGGGGGCAACATCACACCCATATTCAACCTGATCTATGGGCCGACATGACCCAACGGCCTATATGATCTACATGGGTCATGGACTTGGCTTTTGTGGTGTAAATCCTTGAGTTCTGCTAACGTCCGCAGGGGCGTGTCTTCTGTGCTGCGCAGGCCGCCATGGCTGTAGAGCACTTGCAACTGTTTCTTGGATACACTCCTTCATGCAGTCCATGATACCAGGGGACGAGGTCAGATGTGAGCACCGCTGGAAAATCAAGAGACTGGAATTTCCAGAATACTAATAATACTTGATCTTCTAATTTGTTGGGTGCTTTTAAACAAACTTTATTTTGTTGACAACTAACTTTGGGGTCATACCGACTTTTTATTGTCAGTGGTCTCAGAGTTTGGCAGCAGTGCATCCTGTAAACCCAAGAGGAGACACTCCAGTGCAGCTCGAGAACTCGACCTGGACATCGCAAGACATGGCGCGCCACGTCGAAGTCTGATCACTAGAAGCGATGCACTTGTTTCTAATAGCTTCTTGTTACTACTAGTAAGGCACTTGTTACTAGAAGCGATGCACTTGTTACTGCAAGTCTGACCGGAAGGAGATATTGACATTGCCGTTTCTTTAACAAGAGTACCGCCCCTGACACCACTCCTTGACATGGGTTCAACTTCAACCGAATGATCCTCAAACCTCATATCATCAACAAACGACAGGAGAAACTCGTCCGCAACTTGGAGGTTTCTTACTTTAGGTTCATACTAAAATGTTTTGAACTCGAACGGGCTTACTACTTCAACATTGCAACAGGCAGGACCTGGCAGGACCGCAGGAGACCCCACAGCTTCCCATTGTGGGGGAGTGGTTTTTTTCACATCACCCAGACGTGCTTGACCGCTGGTACAACGGTCCAGTTCGGTGCAATGCTCGGGTGCCTTCGGCGTCCCGTGTCAGGAAGGCCAAGATCATCCACCTACGCTCCAGCCAGGGCAAGGTCTACAACAGCACCATTTGCACGTGCCTTGGCATTCTTGCGAAGGGTCATTGGCAAGTCCCTTGTGTCCGGTCCGTTTTTTACTTATTTTTTCTGTGAAGACACTCTGTGAGCTGCTTCTGCATCACAAGTGAAAGCGATTTGCCCGAAATAGAACCGAACATCTCAAAGCTTTCGCCTGAACTGCATATCATTATTTTCAGTGCGTGCCCTCATCAGGTACTATAGGGCTGTATTCTTTACATTTGTGAACAGGCCGGTTGTGGCATGCTCGTTTGTTCGCCAAACTGATGGGCCTTGGACTCGTTTCATTCGGACCTTCCCGTTGATGTTGGGATTGTCTGAGACGCGCCTCGGGACGCGCATCAGAAGATCAGACATCCACCTGCAGGTGCCTCTTCAGCACCCCTCCACCTATGTTCACATATATATATATATAGACCTACATCAATTGTGATGACTTGAGTCTTAGGAGGTCAAACACCTTAAGTCTCTTCAGGTCCTCACGGCACAAAAACTGCGCCCCCACGAGGCTCTTGCGCTTCGACCGCCGCGCGGAGAAGTGGCTGGTGGAGCTTTTTACGGGGGTTGAGGTGCCACGAGCGAGTGTTGCGCGGGAAGCGCAGGGCGAATGCGTCTCAACGTGGTGTCCCAAGAGCTCGGAGAATGAGTGGTGAAGGCGGAGGGCATTTTCCATTTGTTGCGACATGCTAGTGTGCATCTATATAATATATATATATATGTAATTATATGATAATAATATTGTATGTTGCACAGAGTTAAGAGGGTGAAAAACCACTGCTTGAACCACTAACTCATGGAGCAATGCATTCTATGGAAGATGATTTCACTCTCTAAAAGATGGGTGTGGAGATAATTGTTTAGCGGTTTCACCTGGCAAAAGGCCCTTTTCTGACCGTGCTGCGGCAGCCTTTTCAACGCTCAAAACAACCCTCTGTTGGGAGCGACACCAGTCCCAGGCCCACGTGCCGGCGGAGAACCTGGTGCCTCTGAGAGAGTAAAGGGCCGGCCAAGCCGAACTCATGGCAAAGGTCCCATGAGGACGGAAAGAACTGCAGAACCCAAACCGGGAAAACGGGCGTGCGGGAACCCTGTGTGCGGAACCGGTGTGCGGGTTGGCCTGCGCCGGAAAACAGAGCAGAGCGCTGGGGTCAAAGCCTGCGCCACTTGAGCCGCGCTAAGAACCTCCCTGTTCATGTTTAGTAGTGGGCTTGTCATATGAATCCTTCGCGTAAGCAAAACTCTGATGTGCTTAAGGTTGCGTAAGCGTTTTTTGTGAGATGAAACTTGCGTAAGCCGCGTAAGCAAGTCGAAATTTAACATACATGTCACATGTATTCTTGAAATGTTTGGAAATTATAGGAGACCTTTGTTGATGAAGCCTTGCATTGGATCTTTTTCTTGGCAATTGGTATGGTCGAAGGTGATTGGCTCCACAGAAAGAAGGGTTCTTGGGGTTCCTGTAGTCATTTATATACAGGACATAGGCATCAGGACAGAGATTTTATGGGTCGACACATGCAAACATTACTCCTATAGCCATACAAACAACTCCCGTAGCCATAAAGTCTACCAGCAGTTGTCAGACACACTATGTCACCATGCAGTTATCGGTTTTGGTGTCGGTAATACGCGTAAGGCGCGCGTAAGCTTCGCGTAAGCTGCGCGTAAGCCCCCCTCTCTTTTGTAGACGGTGGCCCACGATGCCTCCTAAAGAGCAGGCTTTTTCTGACTCGCAATGGCGCCAAAGGCAACGCATTGTCCAGACCATCTACGAAATCCTGGCTTCTCACTGCCCTACACCCGCGGACGTAACAAACCTGTTGTGTGCTGTCCTTTGCTTGGAAAACAGATGGCGCGTAAGCTGGCGCTGTGGCCGGGTGCAAGATTGTGTTCGCGTAAGTGTTGCGTAAGCCCCTTTGTGTGCAAAGTGTGCGCGTAAGCTGCCATTGTGGTGGCGTAAGCCAGGCGTAAGCTGCTGCGTAAGGAAAGTCTTACGACATACGCAGATGCCACACGTTTTGAGCACAGTTCACTTAGATGAGCATGGAAGTGCAAAGTGAGCCCTTAGATGGTTACATGTTGGGTTCTCTCCGCTTTCATGCTTAGGGGGCTCTGTATCATCCTGATCTCAGAAACAGTGAAACGACAGGTGCTGCTCATCTTCCCGGCAATGGTTCGATGTAAAAAAACCAAAGGGATTTCCGTCTCAAGCCGCTGAGATCTTCATTTGGCCAGTTCCAGGTGTCGTTCACAGAAATCCTTCAACTTTTGGGCAGCTGATCCGATCATCCCATCATGTCCCCATTTTTTTTGGGCAGCAACCCACATAATGGGCGGGTGACCGGACTCCGCCGGTTCGGCTGGACGTTTGAGACGGTTCGGCTTTGGGGTCCACGGTGGAAGAACATCGCCTGGTTTGGATGTGGTCCCGACACCTGAGGGTTGGCAGTGAAGGACACAAGTTCAGCACTGAAAATGCATGAAAAAACAGATCCAAAATATGAATCTGCATGAATCTGCAACACCTCCAAGGCATTTAGGGACCTAGCAAGTAGCGGCTAGTCCATCTGCCATCCGAAGGACGCCCTCTCCAGCTTTGGACGCGACGCTCCCAGCACCAAGGACGGTACCCGAGCTCAACGCCTAGGGCAGCTGGAACGCCCCACTGCACGGGCGGTGCTGGGCGTGCCACGCGTGGCGAAGGTGCGAAAGGGTCGTCAGTGGGTGCGTCACCGATGGTTTTGGATGGTTAGAAACCTGCACCATATGCAGAGCACTACCAGTAGCAGTACCCTGCACAAATAGGGGTGTGGTTTAGACAGCCCTGATGGTCGGATGGGGGTTTTCTTTTTTTTGCTTCGTGCAGCATGTTGTGCTTTTTGGTGAATCAGCTCCACCAATCATCCACCAGGTCACCTGTGGCTTGCATCACACCCTGATCTTGACCGAGGCCATTTGCAGGGCGTGCTGGGCGAATCGTCCTTGGCTCCACGAAACTTCGTGAGATTTCCTGACCATTCGTTCGCACAGCTGGGTGAACTAAGGAACGCCTCCCGAAGGCTCCTTTCCATGGAGCCGACTGGACAAAGATTGAACAACGGATCAAACCCTGGAAAACGATGTTTCTGAATGTCCAGTGCTGGGCATATAAAACGATCGTCTGCAGGATCCTGGCCAATCACCCTCAATCATTGCATCCTCGTCAGCGTCGTCAGAACTTTCAATGAGTCATTTTACTCCGTCTACAGTAGTCATAATTCATAATCACCCACTTCTACCGAGGCAGTGTACGAAATGAATTAGTGAAATGATGTGAAATGAGTTATATAACGTTATATATTAGGAAACTCAGGCCTTTACCAGCTTGTGTAGACCCGGCAAGGTTGGGCCTGGACAGCATTTTGGGGTCCCTCCTCCAGTTGCTGTCTGGTGCCGGTGCACTGTTTCTCACACCAACTGCTTGGGTCTCCGAAAAGTACCGACCTGCTGGTCTCTTCCATTTCTGAGCTCTTTCGGGATTTCTTCTCGTTCTTCGTTTGATCACATTGATCACTGACCTCACCAAGTCCGATTTCACAGGAATGAAACTGCTCGCCACACGCGTAAAGGAGGGGGCGGTTCAGCTTCACAAAATCCCACTGCCGCCATTCTTGTGCCCGAAAACTGTGGGAACAGCCCTCAGTTGCTCCAGCTGATGTTGTGTTGTCACCGAAACTTGTAGGGTCCTGGCCGACGGAATTTCAAGATACAGAGTCTTGTTGACTCCCCAACAAATCGAGCTAAATGTGAGCTCCAAGAGCTTCGTAGCTCCAATTGCTTTTTTGGGGTGTTTGACCGTTTGACCAGTAGAGGAGTGCCCATTCTGCTACACTATTCATTATATAGTTGGATGGGTATACCTCAAAATCACTTAGGAGAGACGGATTCTGCGAGCATGTATCTCTCCAAGCTGGTTGCCCTCCAGGAACGGCAGGTCTTCAGTTTAGGCTCCGGTAGCCTGGGCCAATTGGGCTTGGGCCCTTGCCGCAGATGCCCGGAGGCTCAGCTGACGAGGGAGTGGCGCCTAACCGCCTCCAGTGGAACCGCGTCGCGGTCACATCCGCCGAGGCCCTTCGCCCACCCAAGCCGTGGCCTTGGAGGAAAGGGATGGTGCCATGAATCCATTCGCGGAGGGGCGCGGAGGGGTCAGAGACTGACATGAGTTCGCCTGACTAACCCCTTGATTCCCTTGATTCCATGAGAATCCGACAGCCATTTCTTTTAAAGGTCAATTGATACAATGCGAGAACTGTATTTAAAGTATTTGTATGATTTGTATGATAGATCCATTTGTTTCACCTGCTGTAGGGAGCTGCCCTCATCTTCCAAACTACTTAAAACTTTTGATGACTGTGATGTTTGTTAGAAAGAACACCCTCGGCCTCTCAACCATTCGAAGCAAGGAAGAATGCTCAGCGAGAGATCAACATGATCAACATGATGAGAGGTCACAAAGTGAGGGAATCAACATGTTCCTGTCCGCGGGAATCAACAGAGGGTCTTTTCACCCTGGATCAGTTGCACGACCGGAAAACAACACCTCCGTCTCGGCCGATAGGTTCGATCCAGACCGTTCCCGGAAGCATCTCGGCCATAGGTCGAGAACTCCGGATCCAACCTCCTGCACGACCGGAAAGAGACGTGAAGATCCCTTTTCTTCGTAGATCACGGAGTTCACGGCAACTTAGATATGCCTACAGGGATGCAGGACTTTGTCGATGAATCATCTTGATGTATGCGTGAGGTTGCCTTTCCAGTGCAATGCGAGGGGAGCCCGGGTCCCCAGCATATCACTTCGAGATTTGAACAGGATGTGGAGCGTACAGGCACATGTCGTGGCAAAGGACACAACCCAGTACTTCAGGGGACACTTCCTTGATCTTGAGGCATGTGCCGCATTGAGTCTGAATTCTTTTGAGACAAGAGTCATAGCATTCATAACCCAATGTGGCTTCTTGGGTAACGGTATTGGTATCTCTGTGTGACATCCACCCATCCAGTGACAAAACCAAATGATACTGCACATGACACACCCAAGATCTGAGATGATGCGCCCCAGGGACTTTGCTGAGCCTGAGAGGACGGCAGCAAATAGCAAAATGGCCTAGGAACGCCTCAAGGACGATGTTGGACTGAACCTCAATCAACAGGCATTTTCTCATCTTTGTACATTTGTGGGGGAGCACATCGAAAGCAACCTCCAATGTTCGGGCAAGTGTTGTTCATTAACTGAGTTGTCTTTCGACACCCATCATACGGTTCGCATGTTGCGCTGTGTTTCAGTTGATGTAGTCTTGTTCTCATTCCGCGTAGGCGTAGGTCAAACATTCCAGGCACACCATGCATGACAACATCGGACAACTCGACCAACTTTTGGCGATTTCTCCCTACTATTCCCTCCTTTGTGGTCAGCATGGGAGTCCCTCCCAACAAAGTTATCCCAAAACACCCAACCAGGATCAACAAGGTTCGTTCGTGAGCCAGCGACGGTGGTCACTGAAATCGACAAGATGACAAAACACATCATTACTGCAGATCATTTCCACATCATGAAAACATCATAACTGATCAGCAAATTAAATCATTTGCGGTAGATCTTTTTAATGATTTCAGTTAATTTCCCACTGCCTCTTTGAGGCATTACCGGCATCGCCGCCGGCTTCGCCAGTGGCGCCTGGCGAGAGTTGGGGACAGGGGGAGCAGGCGGTCTTCAACATTATCTCTTTTTTGTGCAGAGCTTTGGAGAGAGCTTATGCTATGATAGCTATGGCTGTAGGTTCTTTGCTTGGTTGGATTGCTGGGTCGAGCAAAGAAACACCCGTTCATTGGGTCGAGAACTACGGTTGTTCCTGCCGTGCCACGGGAGTCGACGGCGTCAGCCAGGCTCCTTTGCAGTGACACAACATGGCTGGGCCTGAGGCCTCAGACGGATGATCTATTTCCTCCCCTGGATCCTGGG